TATTTTCCTGTGTGCAGTATAGCAGACTCTTGTTTTGGTATCCAACTGCCTTAGAAACCCAGTTAATAACAAGTGATAACAGTTGCTTGTTGAGCATGGAATGGGAACAAAGGGAGCTCATGGGTTTGGTGGGATGTTGCTCTTAGGCTGTTTTAGGACTTAAGAAGCATTTTTATTTCCATTAGAGTGCCCAGCTCTAATGTGTTGGGTCCTCTGCACTTCAACAATCCCCAATAGGCCTCTTAGGCTCATCCCTCTGTCATGACCCAGGTTCATCTTCTCTCAGTAACTTAAAATTAGATGACCTTTATCATTCATTTTTGTTATAGTTATTATAACCTTAATTTGTACATACTTTTTTGTAATTGTTTGCTTTATTTATTTGTTTGTTTTTGCAGTGCTTGGTAATGGGCAAATATCCTACCACTGAGCAGCAGTCCTCCAGCCCTTCGTAGCCCTTTATAATTTGTGAAATACTTTTATATGAGTTGGAGTATAAATACTTTTATATGACTTTGGTGATTAAGAGTACTGGGTGTTTTTCCAGAGGACCTGGGTTGGATTCCCAGCACCTCACAACTGCCTGTAACTCCAGTCCCAGGGGATCCAACACCCTCTTCTGACCTCTGTGGGCACTGCATGTATATGGCACATGGACATACATGCAAGAAAAGCATGCACACACATAAAAAAAATAATTTTTTCTAAACAAATAGTTTAATAATTATGAGCTCATTTGAACTATACTGGGTGACTTATAACTTAATCTCAGCACTTGGAAGGGTGAAGCTGAGGGATTACTGTGAGTCCAAAGCCAAGGTCACTGAATAAGAACCTAAGAGAACAAATAGCAACCACAATAAACCTCACTATCCAACTATTTAACAAACCAGCTAACCAAACAAACCAGCAAAGCCTATTAACCCATTTGATCCTCTGGGAAGTAAACAAAGCAGGTATCTATTTTCATTTTGCAGATGAAAAAATGAGATTTGAAGAATATAAATGACTTCATCAAGACTCATAGCTCTGTGGAAAAATGAGGACCAAACTATGGGGCATCTTATTTTTACTCTAACGCCTTCTTCAAGGCTGATCTCATTCATTCTGGGTTAAATCATAAACATCATGTTTTCAGAAAATGTAATTTTTTTGACTGTCCAAAGTCCTATGGATGCCCTCAATATAAAACCTGAAATATCTGAGCATTAACTCTGGCCTTTATACAATTGTCGTTATAATAGCTAACACTTACTGAGTGCCTAACTGTTACAAAGCACAGCTAAGCCTTTTGAGACATCATCTCCTGGAATCCTCATGATAGTATTCTGATGTAGATGCTATTATGACCACACACCCCTGTTTTATGGAAGAGGAAGCTGAGCTATAGAGAAGCTAGGAAGTAGCCTGATGCTGTATGGTTAGGAAACGGTAATACCAGAACCAAACTCAGATCTAGATCATTTGGTTCCTGAGGCTCAGCTACTTTGCTTGTTTTATTAAGTAGATAATTTGCCTAACTCAAAGAAATTGGCTTTTGGAGTGAAAATTTTAGAACATCTGACTTTTCTTATGTCAAGAAAAAGACATAAAATATGTTACCCGACTTTTTAAAAAATATTTATTTATTTATTTATTTATTTATTTATTTATATGAGTACACTGTCACTGTCTTCAGACACACTAAAAGAGAGCATTGAACTCCATTACAGATGGTTGTGAGCCACCATGTGGTTGCTGGGAATTGAACTCAGGACCTCTGGAAGAGCAGTGAGTGTTCTTAACTGCTGAGCCATCTCTCCAACCCCGCCCCGCTTTTGGTGCTAAGCCTCATCCTAGGGTCTCATCTTGTATCTATAGGGGCACCCTTTACCAATGAGCTATACTCCCAACCTTGTATTTGACATCTTTTATTTCAATTCCTTTGCTGTTAAGTACTTTAGAGAAGTATAGATAATCAAAGACCTGTGAAATCTGGGGAAGAAATGGGAGGCCCTGATCCAGTGATTGTTACAAGTCAGTTTCCTAGGGAACTCTTTTGATCCAAGTTTCTGCTTCCAATTCCTCTCTTAAAGCTGGATTCTTCTAATTTTCTGTCATAATGGTTACTTACATGTATTTTGTGCAAGGCTGATTTATCTGAATGGTTTAATTGGGTTGATTGTCACACCCACTGTGCACCACAGTGATGCTTTTCATATGCCGTGTGCTTTTGCTTTGATAAAGAATAATTGTCACATTTTTGCATATATTAGGGTTGAGGTTTCTGATTTGTTTCTACCTGGCACTAGGGTTGCTCTTGCACACGTACTGAGTCTATACAACTTTCTGGGTGATGAGTTAGGTGTTGTGGGAGCCATAACTGAAATTCTAGTTCTTCGAGATTTCATAAGTCTAGTACAGAAGACAGGACAATATAACAACTTATTCCTTTAAAAGTTTATGTGTGTGTGTGTGTGTGTGTGTGTGTGTGATCGGTTCACTGCTTTCACCATGTGGACATAGGGATCACACTCAAGTTTGGCAGCAATGTACCTTTACCTGCGGAGCCATCTTGCTGGTCCACAAGTGATTTCTTACAAGTCCTACCCTACACACAGAGTCTTGTGTATACAGGGGATAGATCTGTCTTAGAAAATTACATCTGAACTACATTCTGAAGTTTAACTTTAGGAGGAAATGAACAATAAATTGAGTATGTGAAGAGATTTTCAGTACTTTAACTATTAGTATATGGTGATTTGTCAATATAAATTCCTTTAAGATATTTGCTGTGGTGTCTGTCCTCAAGTGATATGGGACCAGAGCAGATAAGTATTTCAAAGCTTTCCCTTTTTAGTGGCTTCTCTCTGTTCTCAGTCAGTAAAATGTCACTTTAGTAAGAGAACTTGTAACTTTCCATTGTAACCACAACCTACTTTGCTCAGTGCCTATTCATAATAGAGAAGATGCTTATTTTTTAGGCCAGTGTCCACTTGATATTCTCATTAGAGAGAGATTGGTTAGATAAGTACCTGCAGGCTGTGTCTACAAAATCCTTTCCTAAAGATTAATAGATGTTCAGTTTTGGGAGGGGGAATAGGAGTCAGGAGGGAGGAGGAAGAAGGGGAAAGGCAAGAAAGAGCTGTGGTAAAATGAGTCCAGTAAGCGATGAGTTACTTTGATTGTTCATTGCATAACATAGTTCTCTAGAAAGATAAATATGATGCTATATTTTGTGGGCCTGGGGAGATAGCTTAGCGGGCACTGCAAGCATGAGGACCTGAGTTTGGATTCCCAGCACCTATGTAAAAAGCACATGGTAAGTTCAGTGAGAGAGATTGTCTCAGAAAGTGAGGTGGAGGGAGCTGAAGAGATGGCTCTGTGGTTTAGAGCACTCGTTGCTTTTGTAGAGGACCCAGGCTTGGTTTCTAGTACCCACATGGTGGTTCATTCTACTTCCAGGGGGTCTGATGCCCTCTCCTGGTGTCCACAGCACTAGGCAGGCATGTGGTACACATATATAAATTCAGGCAAAACACTCATACACATAACAAAATAAAATAAATAAATCTAAAAGTAAGGTGGAGATTGATTGATGAGATTACCTGATATTGTCCTCTTTCTATTTTTGTTTTATTTATTTTTTTGAGACAGAGTCTCACTTTGTAGCTCTGGCTGGCCTGCTTCTGCCTTCTAGGTGCCAGAATTAAAGAAATGTACCATCTCACCTGGCTCCTGGTTTAATTTTTTATTATAGTTATTTTTAAAAATGTTAGTAATTGTATTTTGTCTGTGTCTTACCTCCATGTATATCTGTGAATCATATGCATGCCTGGTGCCCACAGAAGCCAGAAGAGGGCATCATATCACCTCCCATTGGAGTTACAGATAGTTGTGAGCTGTCATGTGAGTTCTGGGAACCAAAACCAAGTCCTCTAGAAGAACAGACAATGTTCTTAAAGACTAAGCTATCTCTTCTACTTCCTGATTATTTTAATGCATTCAGTGTGTGTGTGTGTGTGTGTGTGTGTGTGTGTGTGTGTGTGTGTGTG